GGATGTTGAAGATTTACAACTTTGCTGTGTATGTATTAGCAGGTTGTATATTTAGGAACTGAAGATGCTACTAGGACCATCCTATAAAGGTGTTGAGCCAGTAAAAGTGACAGCAGCTGATATTTGAATCCTGCCAAGCCCCTGAAAGAGGAGTCTTCCACCTTCAGTGAGACTATGGAAGAAGAGTGTAAATCTCTCTGAATTGAGATACCAACTCAACACACTCCTGTTTATTTCATCTCCAAACAAGCAAAAGGTAAACAAGCCATCACACACCATCAAGAAGAACCAACTTGTTATTCCAGCACTGCTTCTGCAATGTGATGACACCACCAAAGACTTCAGCATCATTGGTGAGATGTTTTCAAAAGCACTCCCAAGGAAATAAACTGTTCTCATAGTAATTTTAATGGTATATTAAAATTGTATGTTGTAACTTAAAGTTCTAATAACTTCAGTTAACACTAGATTGTTCAGACAGAAAAGTAAGCTAATTGTGGTAAACTACTAATGAGACTTGCTTTGAATTTAAGATTCCTAATATTCATTCATTATGGGGGGGAAGGAAAAACTCAGAAACCTTGTTATAACTTCTTGCTTGTCTTTGATCATGGTGGTAAGAATCTCAGGTGCCTGAAATAGTGTGTGTGAGGTTCCACCCCTAGATCCTACCCCTGGATTGGTGTTGGGTCAAATTTTAGTAATGTCTTTGGCTACAGTTCTTTAGCCTTTTTTTGTAATTTTAGGGATTACATTTTATTTAGCACTTGGCACCAGAACACCTTTTCTGTCTTATAAACTAGCTCCTACACCTTACCTATGTGCCATACTTAATTATGAAACTTGATCAACTACACTAGAGGTAGTATTAGCCTTCTGAAATGGGTAGAGGCTTCTGTTAATCTGGAATAGAAAATCTTATGTTCATGTCAACTGTCCGAAGTGGCTTGATACCACTCAGTGATGTGCTGTTACCTTATTTAAAAAAAAAAATGGGGGGGGGGCAGTTTGACAGGACACAGGAAAAGTCTTGTCTACAGGGCCGTGAGAGGGTGACTGCCGCAGCTGCAGGCACCTTAGCGGGCTACAACCCCAGCTAGCTCCACTAAGAGCGGCCTGGGAGCACGGCCTGCTGGCTTCCAAAGGGCTGACCCAGCAGCACAGCAGCTAGTCTGCCCCCGACCAGTCCTCTGGGGAATGAGCGCCCTCTGATTGGTTATTCGTCCAGGGGCAGCCAGCCAATCAAAAGTACGCCAGGTAGAGCGCGCGCTCATTCTCTCTCCCCTCAGCCACGGAACCCGACGCTGGGCGGGGGGGTGAAGAGGCGCCGGGCTTGCGCGCGCCTCCGAGCAACCGGGATGGCGGATCTGCTCCTCCCCGACTCGCTGCCACGCCCGGCCCGGGCAGGGCCCCCGGCTCGCGAGGAGCCCCTGCAGCTGCCCCGGAGGCCCGGGAAGAGCTCCCAAAGGCGCGGAGGTGAGGCTGAGGGGGGCTTACCTCAGGGCGGTGAGCGCCTATGGGGGCGGGGCTGATGAGGGGTGAGAGCTGCAGCTGGGCCCGGAATCACCTCGCCCAGTACTGACTGTCTCCCTCTTACCTGCACTGGGGATGGCAAAGGGAGTTCAAAAATCAGACCAAAAAAACCCGTGTGTGTGTGTGTGTGTGTGAAAATAAATAAATAAACAAACCTCAGGCTTTTTGGTGTCCAACTCATGAGTTTGGTCCCCTGAGGCTGGGAATACTGGGTATGTTTGCGCATGCTGCAGTCATAGCGCCGATTGGAGTGTAGAGATCCCCAAAGTCTTGTCTAGAGCACGGAAAGCATGGGGTGCTAAACTGGCTGGAGTGCATTAGAGGTTTTGGGAAGAGGATGTTCTTTGCATTCAAGCATTTCCTGAATACTGCAAGGCATGGGTCGTTGTGTTTTGACTGCCTGTTATGTGTGTTTGTATCGTTCTGAAGAGGACTGTGAGTAGCAGCCTGCCTCAGAATAGCTTGATGCAGAGTATTCTGCTCAGTTTAAAAAAAAAAAATCTCAGTGCAGCACAGGTTTAAAAGAAACATTCCCCATTCTATTGAAATGCACATCTCTCTCTACAAGTAGCTGCCAGAATTTGTGGGAGGACCAGAAGGGAAGTGACTTTTGTCTTCATATAACTATCACTGATATAAAATCTCTCCTGACTGTTAGTGAAATAAAATGAAGCAGCAGTGATCTTAAAATGCCATTCTAAATGTAGGGTGGGAGGGGAAAGGAAAGGGATTACTACTTGCCAAATGGAAAATATCAAGAGGGAGGGAGTGAGACTTGTATCTTCCAGTGATACTGGCAAAAGTGATAATTTAAAATAATGGACTTAATGGGCTGGAGAGTTTGGGGGTGGCGCAGACACACCAGCACTGGAGCCTTTGTTGCCAAAATCCAGGGCAAGGATGTAAAGGACCAAAAATTGTCCCCATCTGAGGCTGTTTGGTAGCTTTTATGAAACAAATTGGTAGGTCTCAATCAAGTTGCTAGGAGACAGGTCTCCATTTTGTCCCTCTTGTACTAACTGGCCCCTTGTGAGGGCAATGCCTAGCTGGGTCTAGGAGATGGAACTCCCTTATTGGGGGTTCCTCCAGGTCAAGCTGGAGGCATGCTGGCAGTGCATGGGCTGGAAGCCTGACTTACTGCCCCTGCTGTGTGGAGTGGGTGAATAGTAAAGTCAGTCTCCAGGGTTGGTAAGCTGGCATCTTTAATCAGCACTAAACTCAGATCTTTAAAACAAACAGGACTCTTGGAGGAGCTTGTTGCAAAATGAAGTTGCTCCCTGCATATTCATAGAATCTGAGAGGAAATGCGAGAGACCCTCATGGTAAAAGGACTTAGTTCGATTGTTGCCTGGGCTATGGAGAACATTGATGGTTCTCGGGGTACCCAGGATTGAGAATCACCTTGTTACTCCCCTGGCTCTAGCATGAGGGACGTTTCTTGTGCTTAACTGATTGTCAGCTCCCTGATACCACTAGTCTATTAGCCACCCAAGCACACACCTCTGGGCTATGCCAACCGTTACTTTGCCTTGCAGGTTAACAATAGGTGCATCCCAGTCCCTGAGCCCCTTTGAAGCATTCACTTCAGTATCCAGCCCCTTATCCACTGAAGACTCTCAGAAATACTAGGTCTGCTATCCTCAATGGAACAGTGTACATGCCAGCCTGTGTGAGTTAACTTAGGATCAGCACCTGACTTAATATCACAGCTCTTGTATATCTTTATAGTGAAAACAAGAATAAGTGTATTATCAAGGACTACAGATTCAGGAGACAGTAAAGATATTGGGAACAAAAGGTTACATATAAATACAAATTACATGATTTCTAGAGACTAAACTTAAGTATAAGTTAACCTGCAGTCTAAAGAAGTTTCACACCCAAAGACTTTTGCAACATCTTCAACCAATGGTGATAGTGAGTCTGTAAATGCAATTCCTGTTTACTTCCTAGGTGCAGGATAAGGGAGGTATAACCATCCCATGGATTGTTTTTCAAGTGTGCTGCAGCCCTGTTGACTTCACATTTCTTCAAAAGTTTGTATGTAAAGGGACAATACTTAATTTACATCCAACGGAGAGAGATTGATAAACATCTTTTTGTCTGAAAGAAAACTTGTTTCTCTCCTGTGACTCCTGCAGTCTTAGATCATGTATCCAAGTATTTCCAGTATATATATATGACTCCATATATGGAGTTATCTGTACATACATTTCACAATGATTTTAATGATCAGTGTGACCCTGGCTTTTATTTAAGCTTTCACATGACGTTCTTTGGTGAATCAGAATTAGGACATTTCTATAACCTCCTTGCCAGTTGGCTTTAAGAGGTTCTTGGGTCTTGTCCCTCCCTTCTCACATTTATCTCCAGACTTCTCCTTGTCCAGATCTATTCTGCCCCCAATAATCTTCTATTCATTGAACTTTTTGAAATTTTGCACTTTTACAGAGAAGTAAGGGATTGACTCTGTGTATACAAATTTGCAGAGGGACAGTAGAGTTGAGGTCTGTTATTTCTCCCCTCTATATATTATTTATCTTAACATGCTTGTTAACAGCAAAAATGTTTTATCTCTGGAGACACAAATCCACAATTTGAGAACGGCAAAACTAAGCATCTCTGATAGTATCTTCTAGACTGAGCACTGAGTCCCATTGAGTAGATAGAAAGATTAACCTAAATAATCTATACAGAAGCCCCTGGAACCCCATCAGATTGGGTCCCTAATCCATGAACTATTGGAACTCTTTTACAAAACTTTTCTTAAACATTACATGAATATATTGTCTCATACTATAGAATTAGAATTTATAATTTGTTCCATGATGAGATACATTATAGCTCAAAGATATCTTAATTAAAACTATCTTTAGATAGGTTTTTTCCTCAAAAAGCATTTTATCAAAAAATCCAATTTAAATAAAAAAAAATCCGATTTTTTTCTTTAAATCATTGATTTTTATCTATCCTGGTTCCTTCTGTTTCCTCTGTCCATCCATGGATCCATCCTCACTCCCTCCCTGCTCTTTTCCTTTTCTGGCCTTCTCTGTGCCCTCATGAGGTGCCTGATGTTGGGGCTTGGAGTACAAGTCCCTCCACACAGGCCTTTTTCTGTAGTATACAGTGTACTTGGACATGTTTGTTCTGTTGCTGAACTCCGTTCCTTTCCTCCCCATCCTCACCCCATGATGGGGTGCACTACTGCCATATGGTGCCAAAAGAGCCCCTGGAGCTACCCCACCCTGCGCCAGAGACTTGAACTGTTATCAGTGGGTTAATAGCCTGAAAACTCTGTCTTTATTGATGTGTGTCTGAGAGTTAAAGCTACTGTAAATAGTTCCAAATAATTTTCTTTGCCAAGGATTGTAGAAGCAGCCACACCTCTTGAAATCTAATGCTAGCCCCCCTTAATGCATGCAGTTTATCTCAGACTTTGCTTCACAGACCTTTGCACAGGTGCGTGGAATCTGGTGCAACTAACTTAATGATTCAGCAGAAGAGCAAACACTTCATTCTTCTCCTCTCAAATGGCTTGCTCTGCAAGGATTTTGGTGACAGCCTGGTGCTTTTTTGTTGGCATCTCTGTTTCTGTGCCAGGATGGCAAGAACTGGTCAATGGGCTCCCACCTCCTTGTGAGAGGTAACTACTTCCTGGGTCCCTGGGGGGTTGGTGGGTCTCCTGGTGATTGATCTTGCGGCAGGGACATAGTCTAATTATTTTGCCAAGAAAGTGTCCTGGGCTGTGCTATACAAATAGGAGCTGTTTAGACGCACAGTGCTGGTAGAAGATTGGGGAGCAATAAGAATATGTTGAGTGACATGTAAGGTAGGTAGGTGTGTGTGTGTGTGTGTACACTTTCTAAGATCTTTACTCCTTTCCCCTCCCTTTCCCAACCCTCCTATGGGCCCTTCTCCTCCCCTCTGCTGGTGTGCATGATCCATCCCTCCCCTGCTCCCCTCTGCCTCTGTTTTGATGGTTAGCTCTGCTGGGTTGTATAGTTCTATTTGTACAGAGCCCAGCATTGTGGGGCCCCAATCTCAGCTGGGCCTCAAGCTCTGTAGTAATATGCAAAATAACTCTGAAAGGTGCTAGATTGACAGGTGAAGAATGGTCAATATCCTATAGCACTCACCTGTGTCATGTAGTTTTGTGTACATGAAAGGGTTCTATAGGCTGAGTTCTGAAGGAAGTAGGGAAAGGATGGTGCAGTGGATAAGACACTAGCCTGGGCCATCAAAGACCTGGGTTCAGTTTCCCCAGGCTCCCTTTGTAACCGTGGGCAAGTCTCTGCTTAAGTTCCCTAGCTGTGACATGGGGATAATAGTACTGCCATACCTCACAGGGGTGTTGTGATGAATGCATGACAGTGAGGTGCACAGATACTACACTGGTGGGATAGGGAGTCAATGAGCAGAGATCTGGTTACTGAAACTACACTTTTTTGCCAGTAACTCTGCAGCATCCCTGTGCTATGAAATTCAAATCTTGAATGGCTAAGGTAACTTAATTTTAGCATAGTCTATTGAGCTTTTGTTGCCTGATTGTTTCAGAGCCCGTTTGAAGCTGCTAAAAAGGGTGGTCCATCTCTCCTCCTGCTGCATGTTGTTAGAGAAGTTCTCACTGCAGGAAGGGTTAGGATCTATTGGTTAGGTCAGGAGCCTTATACGGGGAACCCTTCGATTCTGCCCTTGGTCACTTTTCCTCTCTATTTCTTGACTTCCTCTGTAATATGATTTGAGGCCTTTGGATGGAAAGCACTGTATCAGTTTATCTTTATGACTAGGGTAACAAGCTTCCCATTTTAATTTACCCTCTCCTGTTTGGAAAGAGTGATGGGCCCCAATGGATGAGTTTAAATACGTATGGGCGGCGGAGGGGGGTTTAAACAATTGAAAACAATTGTCGACATAATTTCTGTGGGTGTAAAATAAATATAGCATAAGGAACAAAAGAGTAGGTGAAGCTCAAGCCCAGATGCTGTGGGAATTGGATCAAGGGAGGAGAGTGCTGGTCATACACTCTGGGGTAGCATATTTGTGGGAGAAGGGGGGGGGCAGCAGAAGCAGAACTGTGGTAGGCTAGAATCTAGCTTGCAATTTGTAACTTGTGAATTGATCACATTTATAATGCAGAAGCAGAATACTTGGTGCTTTAACAGGGCCTGTTTCATAAAGCTGAAAACAACTATGAGCCAAATCAGCTGGGGGGAAGAATTTAATCAGAAGCATGTGAATGATAATTGGGAATCATTTAAGAACACCTTAGATGCCCCAAAAGCCACAATCCTACAATTGAGGAAGAAGGCCATAATGGTTTAAAAAAACAAACAAACCTGACCTGTTTTAGAGGGAAAGTGAAGGCATCTATTAAAATATATATAGCAAATGGAAGAAAAGGGAAGTTGATAGTAAAAAGAAATTAGAAGTTAGGAACTGATAAGGGAAGTAAAGGGACACAGAGGAATCTATAGCTAGCAGTGTTAAGGACAATAAGGAGTTCTTTTAAATATATTAGGAACAAAAAGAATCCTGACAATGGTGTTGGTCCATTACTGGATGGAAATGGTTGAATTTTTAATAATAATGTAGAAAAGTCAGAGGTGTTTAAATATTTCTGTTCTATAATGGGGTGGGGGGGAACAGATAGTATAGGGATAGTCTCATTATATGGTGGTGATGGTTTTTCATTCCACTAGTATCTCTGAAAGATGTTAAACAGAAGCTACTAAAGTTGGACATTTTAAAATGATCAGGTCCAAATAACTTGCATCCAAGAGTTTTAAAAGAGATGGCTGAGGAGCTCACTTAGACAGGCCATTCATCTGGTTTTAAACAGGACAACCCTGCTTTTCTAAGGTTTGTCACCCATTTGGTACTGAGACAAAATCACATGTATTGGACAGGGGATGCTGTTTTGAAGACCATACCGCACTGATCCCGCTGCTGTGACCTTGCACACATGGTGCATGCAAGGTCACGTCGGGAGGAGTGGGGTCACACAGGTGGGGTTAGGCCAGTGAAAGAAAACAGAAGTAAGGAAATAGGTTAACAATTGACAAAGCATGAATGCACAAATGGCCTTGTAAATAATACATAGCTAGTAGATAAAGAAATAGTAGCAAGAGGGGTATGTGATAAGCTTGCAGCTTTGCTTACTAGCACACTTTATAGTGCGTAGACAGCTCATGATCTCTACAGGGATTGGTTCACAGAATTAGTAAGACAACCATGAAGTATGTGATACAATCTAGAATGTAATGCGCATGTGTCAGTGTGCTTTAGAATATGTATATAATCTGATTTATAATTACGTACTTTGGAGTTGTTATGCTCCCTAACCCACTCCCTACACCTGAGCCCGATCACCTTAGGGATAGCTTTATGAGCTGCCAATAAAGAAACCTTAGTGACGAGTCCAGATTCAGTCCGAGGTTTTGGATTCCAAAGAGCTAGATAAAGTGTTCTCCTTGAACTGGACGAGGTGTTCTGGATAAGGATAGTAGAAAAGGTCTCGGCGGGAATCCCAACATTAAGTAAGGCTTTAATTTTAGCAACATTTCCTTGTTCCCTTTTCCTTTAGCTGGGAAGTTTTTAGAAGGAAAAATCCTGTTTGGCAGTTTCTTAGATGGCCTCAAAGATGGTAATAACTTCTCGTTTACCCAAAAGGACAGTTAGTTGAGATGGGCTAGAGCTGCTGTTGCTGTTAAAGTCTGAGCCCATTTTATCTCAGGCGTTGTTTGGGATTCAGCTGGAAGTGATATAGGTGGTAATGTTATCTAGAGTCTTCTCTTTGGCCCGGTCTGGTCAAGACATCCCCCAGGATTAGGACGAAGGTGGTGGGGGTGGCAGCTGTGAAAGGCTGCCCCATCCATTCTTTCTTCAATAACCCAAAAATGGAGTGATGGGTGGAATAGCCTATCCCCTTATTATTTGTTCACTAGTAGGGCTAATATCCAACACACCAATTTTGATTGATTAATTTCTGGTTCTACATCTTCGTTTTTTACCAAGCATGATTTCAGCACAATCCTGGAGTTGTATCATTAGGCCTTTTTGTTTAGATTAGTTCAGTCAGTCTCCCTTCTGTACCTTTTCCCATAAACATTTGTTCTAGGTTAATGTGACACTTTATGAACTTTCATGTACTTTTTACTGTTGAGCTCACAATTAGAATAAATTTGTAGGCCCGATCATCACATTAGGGTCATGCTCTCAGTGGTTGTTCAGGCTGCCTCTGGCTTTCTACTACTTTTGTGTCTCTCTTGTGTCTGTGTGGAAGAGAAACACACCACTATACCAAACAATCCCCAGCAAAGCCTCCCACCCACATTGAATGGTGACACGAGTCTGTGTTTTAATTTGAGGCCCCTATTGTTTCTTAGGTTTATTTTGAATGAAGTTTACACTCACCAGTTTCAAAGTAGTTTAACCCAACCTATAATAATAATCTTCTCTCTCATTTCAGTATGATTACTCTGTGCAGAATCTTTCAGCTTTCTGTACTGTTTGTATAGGTTAAAAAAAAAAAACAGGAAAATGCAAGAGAGAGTCCTGTGGCACCTTTAAGACTAACAGAAGTATTGGGAGCATAAGCTTTCGTGGGTAAGAACCTCACTTCTTCAGATGCAAGACTTGCAAGATGTATGCTCCCAATACTTCTGTTAGTCTTAAAGGTGCCACAGGACCCTCTGTTGCTTTTTACAGATTCAGACTAACACGGCTACCCCCCTGATACTAAACAGGAAAATGTGATAGAACAATCCCAGAGAGTCAGGGAGTTGAAGGCGGGACATGGAAGTACTTTAAACCCTAATTAACATTGATAGGGTTCCAAGTAGGCAGTGTCCCTTCAAACACAGCTGGGATAGTGCCTGACTGGTGCATATGGCCTGCCCTTGCATGTCACAGAGCCATGCTCTAGCCAGGTACTTTTACAGGTCTGTTATGTGGTTCTGTAAATAGTTGACATGTTTTGGTCCTGTTTGTCAGGTAAGACCAAGTCATAATTGATTTTGCAGTGTAAATGGTCTCTTAGGCACCATCCATGCCTAAGAATTAAGGGACCACATTTAAACTCCTACAGATAAGTGGGTTTAACAGGCCTTGGCTGGCTGACTGACTGTGCAACTGGTTACTTGCCCTTTCTCCCCCCCCCACGTTGAACACAGCTTGGTGTGATAGGTGTGTGGACTGGCCCCTGCCTTAAGGCTCCAGCATGTGTGGGTTGCTGTCTGTGCTAGCAAGCCTGTATCATTCTGCAGTTAATGAAGCAGGTTGTATCTAGCAGAAATAAGCTGGTTGCTTCCTGAGGAATTGCCTGGACCGCATGGGTTAGAACATGCCTGCTTGTGTCTGAATTTCACTCTTTTTTTAATTCTCTCTCTCTCTCTCCTTAGCCAGATTTACTGCACTGGGGACCTCCTGAAGCAGGTCCAGCTGGCCAGGCTCTTCTCTGATGACAAACACTTTGTTGACATGCCGTTGCGGGAGTCTCCAGGTCAGCAATGACAGTATGGCTAGGGCCACAGAACTGTTGTATTTACTCTTTTCCCTCCTGCCAGATACCTGCAGTCTAACCCCACACCCGCCTGTTGGTACAAGCTGGGCCCTGTGCCCATCTCACCACACTCATACAGGATAATTGGGAATTCTGGTACTAATGCACAGGTGAATTATTGGGAATAGTGGCACTGTGCCCTGGTACATACTACACCAAGTAGTCACTGTGGCTTCACCACTTATGGTCCCCTTGTTGGCAGATTCAGCAGAACCTCAGCCAAGGCAGTAGACAGTGAAGGCTGTTTTCTTTTTCCCAGACCTAGTTCTGAAGAAGTTTCAGCAGCTAGTGAATGTGACTCCGGGGGGGATATTGTCCAAAGAGCAGCTGCAACAGTTTGTGAGCTCATCCTTCAGTGACCCTGGACAGGAGTTCGAGCAATGGGAACCTCAGGACTGGACGAGCAGGTACAGAATAGAACACAAAGGGGCCTGTGCAAGCGTGAGTGTGGCATGATGAGCCTGAGCCCTGGTGATGGAAGTAAGGGAGCCAGACTGCACTGTGCTGGGCTCTGTCCCACTCCGGAGATGGGGGCTGACTACAGCTTTCTTGGGAAGTGATGAATTTGTTTTTACTACCTGGGGGATGTGGTAGCTGTAATCAGTGCAAGGTGTAATCAGTGCTCCCCATTCACAGTGCTGCCAATGTACCTCGCCCTGACCTACAGCCTCCCTGCTTTTTCATCTCTGCCAATGCCCCTCCATCCTGACCTGCAGACCTTGCTGATAGTTTAGTCTTTGGCTTGGCTTGAGCAGAGGGTGCCAGTTGTTATGAAATGGACTAGAACATGAGATTGGTTTTTCAGGCTAACACCCATCATGCCTCCAAATCTATCTGTGATCTACTGAGGATTGAAGCTTGGGACTCTAGAGCTAAATTGCTAATTTAGCCACATTCTGACTTGTGCACTGCGGGGAGTGGAAGCCAAGAAGGGTGCTGTGACCCATAGATTGCTGCACTATATCAGGCAGTGTATGTCACATGCAGTTTCTGGAAGCAACCCTTGCCTGTGTTGACTAGGGGCTTGGTTGTGGCTGTCTCCTCTCTTGAATATGTTTCCTTCTTTATCTTCCAGCCCCCAGATTTTAGCCAAGATTTCTGACCAGAAACTCCAGGCATGGGCATCGGATCTGAATGCCAAGTGGAAATCCCTAGGGAGAAAGGTAGAGATATGTGGGGGGTGACCCTGCTTCTGTGCGCTGTATTTGGAAAGAATGCGAGTGTGGTGACGATTCGGCCCAGGCTAGTTGTGGGGGCTGGAGGAGAGGCGACTGGCTCAGGGTGCTGGGGATTGTGGGAAAGGGTTGTGGGGAGTGGTGACCAACTTGGATCATCTCTCTCTCAGATCAAAGATGACGTTAGGACTCGCCCGATGTTTTACTCTCAGATTTATGTGCCGCACCCTCTGATGGTGCCCGGTGGCAGGTTCATTGAATTTTACTACTGGTGAGTAACAGCTGGTGTGTTAGAGCCTTGTACTGGTTACACCTCGAACTGACTTAGCTGCAGCCACAGCTGGAACCCTGGCTCTGCCCCATGCCGGTTGAGCTGGTGAATTTTGCTGAGCCTGGCTGTCACTGGCACTGTTCTCCTGGCCAACATACATGGGGGTTGTTTCAAATAATTGTACTTGCTGAAACGATGTGACAAGCTGTCCTGTCGCACACTAGGTGCGGCCATGACTGAAAGGTGTGGGTGCAGACAGACTGTCCTCAGCCCTGGCCTGAATCCCAATGCTCAGGAGAGTATCGGGTGTCCGCATGGAGCAGCTTACGTTTGGTTCATGCAGGGCCACAAGCCCAGAGCATCTGGTATCGCTCGTGCAGCTGCTTCTTTTGTGCTGCAGGGATTCCTACTGGGTGATCGAAGGGCTGCTCCTCTCTGAAATGGCAACCACAGCCAAGGGGATGATACAGAACTTCTTGTACCTGGTGGACAGGTGAGACCCTGCCCTAAGGCACGTAGAGAGAGGAGGCTGGCTGGAGGCTCACTACCTTCTTCCCTCAACTCTGAAGCCACTCGTTCCCTGTCCAAGCATGAGGAACTGACCAAGTGACACAACCGTGGCTCTGGCAGTGCCCTCTGCTGAGAGGGTGTCACTTTGAGGATCCTTGGGCAGGGACAGTTGTCATGAGAGCATAGTCATCTTGTCCTCCAACTTTTGCCATCTCCTCACAGTTGCAGGGCCCTGCTCCGAGTGCAGTGTGGGAAGTGGGGAGGCTTCTGCAGGGCCCTTCATCCTCCTCCCCTGGGGCTGTGTAACACATGGTCTCTCCCCTGATGGGCAGGTATGGGCACATCCCAAATGGAGGGCGAGTCTATTACCTGCGCCGGAGCCAACCACCTTTCCTCACTCTGATGATGGATGCCTACCTGGCCCACGCCAATGACATAGAGTTTCTCAGGTGGGCATGAGGTTCTGCTAGTCAAATGAACAGCGTGCCATCACTGGTAAATAGTATCAATGGCCAATGGGGGTCTGGCTGGAGAGTCTTGCCTACATGCTCGGGGTTCTACTGATCGCCATCTTTGGGGTTGGGAAGGAATTTTCCTCCAGGGTAGATTGGCAGAGGCCCTGGAGGTTTTTCGCCTTCCTCCGCAGCATGGGGCAGGGGTCGCTAGCTGGAGGATTCTCTGCTACTTGAAGCCTAAACCACAGGATTTGGGGACTTCAACAGCAGAGTCAAGGGAAAGGGTTGGGACGGCTTTGTGGCCTGCATCATGCGGGAGGTCAAACTAGATGATCATAATGGTCCCTTCTGACCTTAAAGTCTATGAGTCTGAGTCACCAGTACCCCATATGTCCCAGGGGGCAGGGGTGGATTCTCCTTACTTCTTCCCCCATCCCCCATGGCTGGTGCTGATCCCTTGGGCTCTCCCTCAGGATCAGGTTCGGATGGCTGTAGAGGACATGGGTTGGCACCCTGTAACCTAAGATAATAAAGCTCCCCCATCTCCTATGGCACCAATGAGGATCTTGCATAGCAGTGAGGGTGGGCACTGGCTGATGTGCAGACAGGATGGGACCTGAGTGACCATGAGCCTGGTGCTCTGTACTCCAGGTGTCTGTGACTCTCTTACCCCCGCCCCCCTTTACCAATAGGCAAAGCCCCCTCCCTGGGTGCACACATGCCCCTGCATATGCCCTCTTCTCCTCTGAGATTTCCAAGCACACCCCAGGCTCCAATGAGCCTGGCTAGTCTCAGCAAGAGCCCATCGCTGTAATATTTGGTACTGCATTGCCACGTGAGCCATCTACTGACTGGTCCCAGGGCCAGTCTGGTCTGCACTCTGCTTGGCCAGCATGTGTTGGAGGCAGCAGGAGCATTGCTGCAGGTCATGGTCTGTGCTGTGTATGCCCTTCAAAGTCTACACCGAGCAAAGCCCACTGGGAAGTTCCCTGGAGCGGTTCATTCCCTACTGGGCTTCCTGTCGCCCCAATTCCTGGGTAGACCCATGATTGGGTGATTTGTTCCTCATGAAAAGAGACTGCTCCGTGAGGAGACACTGACCATGCCTGTGGTCTGATTCCCAGGGAGAATATCCATCTGCTGGAGGTAGAGTACGAGTTCTGGCAGAGGAATCGCTCTGTGAGCATCACAGTTGGGGACAGGAATCACACTCTGAACTACTACAACGTTCAGATCGGGGAGCCCAGGTACCATCCCAACAAGCACCATCTAATGGAGTTACACTAGAGGGGGAGTCAGGACTCCTGGGTTCTATTCCCAGCTCTGCCACTTACTCACTGTGTGGCTTTGGGCAAGTGACTCACCCGTCCCTCCCATGCCCCAGTTTCTCTAGCAACAGAGGGGGATAATCCTCCCTCCCGCCCCCGTCTTTTGGGGGCTGTTGCACATGCAGGTCATTAGCAAAGCTCTACAGTGGCACTGAGTGTGTTTCACAGACCATTCCCCGTCCCCTGTGATGGAGACAGGTGCCAATGGACATGGTTGTGTTGTCTCTTCCCAGTCCTGTCCTGTGATAGGACATTGACATCCCAGTGCAGAGTGGGCTGTTCTTCTCCAGCCTCTGCAGAAAACAAGCTGCTGCACAGAGCCGCGCCTGTCCCAGAGCATGCACAGGCAAGACCTGCAGCTGCAGGCAAAGGTATCATGGCCTCTTGTTACCCCGAGGAATGTGTCCCTTGGAGACTTGAGGGTCCACTGGGCAGACAGCTCGACGAGGCACTCTCCAGCCCAGCAGCTGGGTTGCTGGTTGAGATCTGGAACTGCTGAAGGTGGGCTGAGGGTGAAGCAGTGCCTTATGGGATTCGTGCTGCCCTCAATGTCCGACAGGGTCATCACGCTGCAGTGCCTGGCAGCTGGTCCTTGTAGGACCACTGGTAGGATTTCACCCACAACCTCAGCTTCTGGCTTCCCCTGTGCACAGCCACTGTGAGACCTGTCTCTGCATGCCAGGCATCCCGGCCTTTGCCTGCTTAGGGCAAGGAAATGACTAAGAACTGGACTGACCTGGTGATCTCTCTGCCTCCCAATCCCTGTCCACCCTCCCCTGCAGACCAGAGTCCTACAGCAAAGACTGGGAGTTGGCAAGTGACTTAAATGAAGGTAAAGAGAGATTTCTGTCATGTGACAGATGCTGTCCCTCTAATGCCCACTAGAACAGAACAGCCTGTGCTGCTCTTCACTGACTGCACCTAAATGTGGGCACCCATGTGCCAGGGGGAGGCAGGGAGAGATTCCTGAGAGCTGGGATGGGGCTTGGATATGGAATACGCATCTGTGGGAGGTGAGGCCATGGCACAGATGTGGTGACATTGGGGGTTAGGCTCCTTTTGGCCATGGCTTCTTGTGATCACTTCTGGAGCTCTCTGCACAGAATCCTGGTGTCCTTCCTGGGAAGCTGGGTGGTGGGATCATGCCCACCAGATGGTTTCACTCTCCGTGGACTGTCTGGGTTCAGGCTCCTACATGATTCAGCCAGGGGAACATTGTGTCAGTTCTGCAGGACAGGATTTGTTCAGGCTCCCCAGGCTTGGTGCTCTAACAGTTCCTTCTTTCTAAGGAGCCTGGGGATGGAGCTAAGAAAGTGTGATAGAAGCAGCTTAACCCGTGCTCCGGCTGAACCAGCATGGCCCTTATGTCTGTCTGTGCTTGGGGGTCAGTGCTCTGGCCTCTAGGGTCCATGCTCTAACGGAGGCTTCTATCCTCATTGCCCCAGTCTGGGGACCTGGTTCCAGCTGCACTGACACACGTCCCGTCAGAACCTGTGTTCAAGCCCCAGATCCCTTCTCTGCTGTTTCCTGCCAGTGGTCACCCTGGGCAGAGGTACTAAATCTTCTGCCACAGGGGACATTGAGTAGTATCTGTGCCAGTCTGTGTGTCTTGCAGATGCCAGGCAGGAGCTCTGGGCAGAGCTAAAATCAGCAGCCGAGTCAGGCTGGGACTTTTCCTCTCGCTGGTTCCTCTCCTGGTCTCCCCCGCTCCCTGCGACACTGAAGGATACCAAAGCCAGGGCTGTAGTGCCAGTGGATCTGAATGCCTTTCTGTGCAAGACAGAGCACCTGCTGGCTTCATTCTACAGGATACTGGGTAAAGAGCCTGTTGGGAAGTGCCTCCCTTGGAGATACTGATGCCTGTTGAATCTCTTCCCCCCTCCACGAGACAGGGACACAAGATGCTGTTATTGGGGCAACATCCCCTGTGTGGGGAAAGGGCCCAGCATCCTGTAGCATTGCTGCCCACAGAGCAGCTTGTGTAAACAGCAGTGCTGCCTAGTGGCATCTTCCTGCAAGTGGGAGCAGGAAGCCGTTTAACTCTTCTCTGCCCCAGGTAAAGCCACTTTGCTGCTCACTTCATTTATTTCTATGTTTATTTAATTCTCAGGTGCTGGGAGCCTAGGGAGGGCATCAGGTGTGTAGGGGATGGGCATTGTAGGGATCAGTTGTGTCTAGGACACCTGCCTTTTCCCCATCCTGGGGCTGTGGCAGCAAATAGGAGCTGGAAGACTGTAGCTGACTCTGCATGAGCTGGAGTGGGTTTCAGCTTCCTCCCCTCTAATACTGAGCAAAGGCCACAGGCTATGCTGTTTAGAGTGCACTGGGACTGGAGAGGCTGCGTTCTGCTGTAGTTAATCTGTGGATGCTCCGCAAGCCCCTCAGTAGTGTAATCAGCCATTCTCTCTCTCTCTCTCTAAGGAAACACCATCAAGGCTGCCCAGTTCCAGGCCGCTCTGGAGCACAGGCTTGAGGCAGTCCAAGCTGTCTTCTGGAATGAGGCTGCTGGAGTCTGGCTGGACTTCAACCTCCTGAAGAAGCAGCCAAACCCAGCCTTCTACCCCTCCAACCTGGCACCCCTGTGGACTGACTGCTTCTCAGACCAGGCTGCAGCTGAGAGGGCAGTGCGGTACTTAGAGGTGAGCTGGGTTCATGTGGGTAAGATTCCTCACCGCAACAGACCAGTCAGTCGCCATTAGCCCATCACGTGGGGAGTGTTCCTTGCAGACAGTGGAGGGTACCACATACCTTCCTACTGAGCCTGGCACATGCTGTCTGCGCAGAGCAAGGTGGAGCTGGAGCCCAGTTCTCATGTGGCCCCATCCCAAGTATTTGCCAGGAGATTCCCAGGACTTGCTCCTCTAGCACAACCCACTAGTGACCCCTAGAGCCCGTTTCCTACACTGGGCTATGCCTGTTCCCATCCCAGAGCATAAGAATGGCCCTACTGGGTCAGACCAAAGGTCCATCTAGCCCAGTATCCTGTCCTCTGACAGTGGCCAATGGCAGGTGCCCCAAAGTGATCCATGCCCTGTCACCCAATCCCGGCTTCTGGCAAACAGAGGGTAGGGACGCTATTCCTGCCCATCCTGGCTAATAGCCATTGATGGACCTCAGGACCTGGGCTGGGCTAGAAGTAGCTGATCAGGTTAGCCAACAAAGTCCTGTCTCCCTAGATCCCTTCTGTGGCCTTCTGTCTCCTGGATGGTGACTCACTGGGGAGCCCAGTGCCACCACTCAATATGCTGTCTATGTTTGCAGGGGAGCACAGTGCTGTCCTACAAGAACGGGATCCCTACCTCACTTGCCAGGACTGGGGAGCAGTGGGACCTGCCCAATGCCTGGCCTCCACTGCAGCATATGGTGATTGCAGGTAAGGATGCTGCTGTGCTCATATCCATAGTTTGCAGGACAGGATGCCCATTGGAAAATTTGCTGTGTTTGGTACCAGACCTCCAAATTGCTTTAGGACCTGCCCCTTGTTTCCTTGTACCTTGTCCCAGCTGTGCTCCATCTCTAGGTATTGCATTATGCCTCTCAATCCCTGCCCTCCACTCTGATGCTGCTTTGTAGCCTTGTGGATTGATCCTGTTTCTGTGGGTTTGGTTCCTGACTCTGCAGCAGCTGCAGGTCAGGCTGGGAGCTCTGCTGAGAGCCCAGGTGTCACAGTGCCATCTTGGTTTGGGGGAGACTCTCCCACCTGGGCCTTTCCCAAACTGCTGCTACAGTGGGCCATCCAACTACTGATACTGCTCAGTGGAAAAGCCAGGGGGGCACCAATAACCCTCCTCACAGCTGCTCGAGTCCATAAACCCTGAGGGCCTTGATCTGTGGCCTTCAGGCAAAACCCACAGAGTTTGGGCCCAACCTGTGGAAGCCTGCTTTTGGAGGAGGGGGTGGAAGAATTGTACAGAGCCCCTGCCAGGCTTCCTGGGGAGGCCTTGAGCTCCAGTGAGGGCTCTAGAGTCATCTCTTGCAGGGATGGACAGGCTAGTGTTTGCAGGAGCTCTAGCATCCCCTGTGACTGGGTCCCTGACCTTCAGTCATTTATCTGTGTTCACAGGTTTGGCCAAGTCCAGCTCCTCGAGAGCCAAAGAAATTGCCTTTGTCCTGGCGCAGAACTGGGTCAGAACCAACTTTGCCTTATATAAGAAGTACCAGGCCATGTTCGAAAAGGTAAAGTCATTGGTGGTCCCGGATAGGCAGGCTGCAGCCCCTGTGGGTAGGAGCTCTCAAGTGGAATTCATGCACACACTCTCCCCTGTGACCCTGGGCAGCAGGTCGTGATTACCTCAGAGTGCCTAGTGCTTGCATGGAAAGAGACTGGGCTGCTGCCCTAAACGACCCTCATCTTGTTTTAACTCTTCCGTTGTCAGTCTGTATTCAGAGCAGGGCCTCAGGTGTGGAGGCACCAGATCCAATCTCAGACAGTTCAGCCTGAGTGGACTTGAGCATGGGTGTGGCTTGTCAGCCACAGGTCTCCCCTATTGGGAGGTCTTTGTCATTCTGTCCCTACCCTCCTCTTCCAGTGCTGCTTTCTGCCCCTGCCTGGTGTACAGCTTCCTCTGCCTTAAGCACCTGTGCTCGTGAACACACAAGAGCTGGAGTCTGTGCCTGCCCCTCTTTCCCTGGACTCTGTGAGGTGGGAACATTCTAGCTCCCACTCTAATGGGGCTTTCTGAATAATCATCTTTCTCCTCAGTACAATGTGGATGGAGATGGGAAGCCAGGGACAGGAGGAGAGTACCAAGTCCAGGTAAGAGCATGTACTGAAATGCTTCAATGCCTATAGGGTGGGGATGTGTGCTCGCAGAATCTCTCACTAGGCATGGAGGATGTGCTTTCCTCATGGGGGGAGGGGCCCTGTTTTGCCTCCATTCAAATTGCTGGGCTGGAAGCTGCTGCTGGGGTTCATCAGTCTCCCTGCTGCAGCCATCTGTAAGCTCCAGCCCTGGATAACAGCATGTGCCTTGCTAATGCTGCATTCTCCCCTGCCAGGAGGGATTTGGCTGGACCAATGGTGTAATCCTGCAACTCTTGGATCTCTATGGCGACCGCCTGACTTCTGGCTCCCCCTCCACCCCCTTCAGGGCCTGGATTGTTGTTGCTTGCATCTTCCTCCTTAACCTGAAATGATAGGGGAAGTGGTTTGGGCTCCCAGCAGCCGGGCCAGAGGAAACAAGCCCATGGGTAGTGAACAGTACCCTGGCCTTATAGCCAGTTAGGGAAGTGTGTGTGGGGGGCTCATCTGGGGCAGCCCCCTCTTTCTCTACCTGCTGGGACAGCAAAGCAGCCACAGGTGAACAATAGCTGTGACTAAAGCCCTGGGCCTGCAGCCCTGCTGAGCCCCCTACCTGCCATTCTCTCATGCTTTTGCTGTGTCATTAATGTTTATCAAACTGGTCTTTGCTGTCATACCTGCCTTGGTGGTTACTGGGGCCTGATTCTTGTGGAGGTCTGTGCTGAGGCCCTACATCCCCTAGTCTCAGCTCATTACCCACCACAGATCCTTTATCCCTTCATTCTCACAAAGTTCCCTGTGTGCCACCCTTCCATGTCCCCCTCATTCAGAGAAATGTGTAAATAGTTAAACTTGTAGAGTTTGTTGAATTATTTATTTTGTCTGGACAGCCACTGTGGCTGTCACCATTCTAAACTCCATAGGGGCAGGGCAGAGCAGAGCACATTCAAAGGCAGGCATCTTCCCAGCACAGTGCCTACTGAGAACCCTTTGGCTCAGGGCCCAGCTGGCTGTGGTCAAGAGCAGGGAAGGTGGAAACAACCTCAAGTCTGTTACTCAAAAGGCTTTATTGTTTGCAGTCTGTCTACAACTACTGAAAAAAGAGAGGCTGGACTGGCTGCTACCTGTCCCCAGCCTAGATGAGCAGAGGGAGGTACAAACTGGACAAAAGGAGAGCAAGGCCTAACAGCAGTGGCACTTGTAGGAATTCAAATACCTAGGGTTAAAAAAGATATTTGGAAAATAAGGATTTCAAGGTTATAAAAGCAAGGTGGGATTTAAATAGTCTTGTTCTTTCAAGGGATTTTCAGCTTTGTGAAACTTAACTCTTCACTAAGCCCTAGAGGAAGGCTCTGGAAATTCCTAGCTCTCAGCTGGATTTTGCTAATAGGGGTAGGTATAGGTAGCCACTTTAAAGGGGCATAAGATGTCAAGGGGCCCAATTTTTTAGCCACTCAAAGCACCAGTGCTTCCACTTCTACAGGTTGAGCAGCTTCAGGCTTGGATAGTATGGGCCCAATGCTGCAAGGGGCTGTGCACCCTCAGCTCTCTGGGACTCTGAGGGGGCTCAGCACCTCATACCATCTGGCTTTTAGATGTGAATTTAGGCTCTGCCTCCCCATGAGGCATGTGCAGACAGTTAACTGTAGGCACCTAGATTTAAGAACCAGGCTCTGCATTCTTCTTGCCCTGCCCTCCTGGCATCTCCTTTGGGTGAGGCACTTTTTAAAGCTCACAGTGTCAGAAGAACAAGCCATTGGTTTCATTAGACTACACCTTGGTGCCTAGTGCATGAGAGAGATCACAAGCCCTGGCAGACAAATATTCCCCCTCATCCCACAGCATTTGCACACCTGGCACAGTTACTTCTAGCTTTACACCATCAGAACCTTACAACCAGGCACCTTGCCTGTGCTGATGCCCAGACTCTGAGGTGGTCAAGGCACAGGAGAGCAGAGAGATGTCTGACATGGACAGACCCCTCACTGTTACAGGTAGCTGCAGTAAATCTGGCAGGACTGTCATGGTGCACATCCTGGCACCTGCAGCAGCCTTGGCACTGGTGAGAATGGCACAAGAAAAGGAAACAAGTCAAGCAGACAGTGGAGCAAACAGGGGTCTGGTCACAGGTGCTGGTAGGATGCGCTAGATGCATCTGTGATGCAGTTGTCATAGTGATGCCCAACAATCTCCAGTTTAAAAAAGTGGCAGCATTGAGAGAGCTTAGTTCCTTAATCCAACAGCTTCAGGCCTAGTTTGCACTGGAACCGGTGGGATGGTCTTTGGCAGCTCTTCCGCTTTGTACCTTTCAGCCCATTGATATGTTTCCATCAAAGAATAAAAAAGTCTGTTCTGTTACATATATAAAAAAAACCCCTCTTGGCTAGGACTCTGTCCCAGCCTTGCTTAACACCTCTCTGTTCCACGTGAGAGCAATTACACCACGCCTGGGCACTAGCTAGGCATGTGCCATCACTCTTATCACCCACACTGTGTTTAAGAGAAAGCGCAGGGCATTTGGTGCAGGCGGAAGGGGAAACGCAACAGCGATTCCACTATTCCACAAGGAATGGCTACAATATGAAAAAATAAGGATTTTGTAACAAAATCATGGCTTTACAGGGTTGATTTTTCCTATTTTTTTTAACATCTCTCTTCTCTTCTCCCCCCCCCCCCGAAAAAAACCCACCACC